ACTCTCACCTATGTTAACGAGAGAATCACTGACATGATGTCAGCTGGTCCTTTTGTGGCAGGGCTGAAATGCAGTGGAAATGTTATTTGGGGATTAAGTTCATTTTTATGGCAAAGAGGGACTTTGCAATTAATCTGATCACTCTTCATAACATTCTGGAGTATATGCAAATTGCCATCATAAAAACTGAGGCAGCAGACTTTGTTAAAATTAATATTTGTTTCATTCTCAAAACTTTTGACCACGACTATATATGGTGACCCACATTGAGATGCTACTGCCTGGGCTGTGATAAAATGTAAAGGCCCCAAGTAAATCTCCTTGGCTTTAAGCCTTCACATCAGCCTGCTGGAGAGAGAGAATTTCTCATCTTCAAAACGTGGGTTTTCAGATTTTGCCTGTGATACTTTTATACATGATTTAAATTACATACTGGGAAGGACAGACTATAATACACCTCAGTAGGTTCAGCAGTTTTTGTAATGGTTATATCCTTGTTTGAATTGGCATTATTTTTGAGTGATGTTTTTCCTCTAAACAATTTACAGCTCTGATTTTCTCCCCATCATAACTGTCAACGGGGGTAAATAACAGTGGTTTCCTTGAAAAGGGGAGAATTTGAGCTTTACAAAAATGCCAGAATTATTACTGTACTTCTAATATTCAACAAATAGCATTTGCTTTTCCCATAGGAAAAAAGCAACTGCAATTCGCTTTTGCGGACTGCAGCGTGAGAGCGGCAACAAAGATGAATGAATAACTGCGCACGTGGGAAAATAGAGCTTCTGATGTGATAAAGCAAAGATAGCCTACATGAAAATAAGAGAGTAAACATTGTTTGTAGTTAACGTTAGTTACAAGTCAAGTGTCTTGGCTTCGCATCAGTTCAGAAGATTGACGAGTGACTGAAGTGACCTCCTGGGAGCTGTGTGGGAGAGCCTGGGCAGATCACAGATCAGCTCCATCAGACCATGCAACTGAAAGATGCCAATTCTGCCAATGAGAGGATTGCATGAAATATTTTGCATGCATGCATGCTTAGGATTGGACAAAATAGATATAAAGGAGCTTCATGTCAAATTAAATGTAAATTAGTCTCACGTGGAATTCTCTTCACCTCGTCACATTTTCGAAGACTAAAATGAAAAGTAATTTGTAATAGTTATGATTTTTTCCAGGGCATCTTGTCTCCTTGTCGCCATAGTTTTAGTCAGGAAAAATAGGTTGTTGACGAGTTTAACACTGGTTCTCACACAGACATACACATATCCACAAAACCGACGAGTGACTAGCAACTATTCTATTAGCGATTTATGCCCTAAAATGTAAGCCCTATTTTATTTGTTGGTGTTATTATTATTCTTCCCTAAGGGCAAATTCACATGCACATTCCTGTGAGTTGGTAAGGCCATGAAGGTAGAACTACCCTCTCAAGCAATGCCATGTCAATTGGCCACATGGTGGCGCTATAACAAGCGATTGAAGATACAAACTTTGAAAGGTCACTCACCCCATGTGACATAGAGTCTTGAAATTCAGCACATAGGTCCCTCCACAAGGAACAAATTTGCCTCAGGATCCATGATGGATTTTCCGCCATTTTGAATTCTGTGAAAAACACTTAAAATGCTACTCCTCTGGCACCGAATGACTGATCTGCACTAATCTTGATATATAGCATCAATGGACCAAGGTGTCTCAATGCAATAATTTACAGACTAGTACCTCAAACAACATGACCAATAAACATTAACGTGGGCGTGGTCTGGCACATAAATGCATATAAAATCAGACACAGATATTTGTATTGTAATAAAACTTGATACACATGTTCCAAATATTGTCAAGACTCAACATATGCAAGCACATTCAGTTCGGCCACATGGTGGCGCTATAATGGTAACATATTTATGTCTCTTAATCTGTTTGACTCAGAGTGATGGGATTTGGCACACATGCTCAGGGATATGAGTTTAGCTAACCTGTAAAGTATGGTTAAGTTTGGTTGCATGGTGGCACTGTTGGACAGGAAAAAACATTCATGCAAGCTCATTGGGTTATAGCGGCCATGTTGTTTGAGCTAGAGTCCTGGAAAATATTGCATTTAAAGACATGGGTCCACAGATGCTATATACCAAATTTGGCCAATCGGTCCAGTGGCTCTGTAGAAGATGTTTAAAGTAGTCAACATCATCAAAATACATCAAAAGCATATTGCATGATCTGTTCGATGTCAAAATTGCCTGATACTTGGCGGAATTCATTATGCCATCAATCTTAACCAGTGCCCCTGGACCTCTGGAATTAAAACAGCCCCAAAACCTCACTGACCCACCACCATATTTCACCATGGGTATGAGGTGCCTCTCCTTGTATGCATCTCTATTTCGAGATTTGGCAGCATTTACAGTTGTGAGTCTTTCTGGGTAAGTTGCAAAGAGCTTTGCACACCTGGATTGTACAAAATATTTGCTGTCAAGTTGGTTGTTGATCATTGCTAGACAGCTATTTTCTAGTCTTGCCATAGATTTTCAAGCCGATTTAAGTCAAAACTGTAACGAGGCCACTCAGGAACATTCAATGTCGTCTTGGTAAGCAATTTCAGTGTATATTTGAAAGGTGAATGTGTCTCCCAGTGTCTGTTGGAAAGCAGACTAAACCAGGTTTTCCTCTAGGATTTTGCCTGTGCTTAGCTCTATTCTGTTTATTTGTATCCTAAAAAACTCTCTAGTCCTTGCCGATGACAAGCATACCCATAACATGATGCAGCCACCACCATGCTTGAAAATAAGAAGAGTGGTACTCAGTGATGATTTGTGTTGGATTTGCCCCAAACACAATGCTTTGTATTCAGGACATGCATTTCTTTGCCACATTTGTTGCAGTTTTAGTTTAGTGCTTTATTGCAAACAGGATGCACGTTTTTGAATAGTTTTATTCTGTACAGGCTTCCCTCTTTTGACTCTGTAATTTAGGTTAGTATTGTGGAGTAACTACAATGTTGTTGATCCATCCTCAGTTTTCTCCTATCACAGCCATTCAACTCTGTAACTGTTTTAAAGCCAGCATCGGCCTCATGGTGAAATCCCTGTGTGGTTTCCATGCAACTTATGTGACTTGTTAAGCTCATTTGTACTCCTGAATTTTAGGCTTACCATAACAAAGGGGTTGAATACTTATTGACTCAAGACATTGTAGCTTTTCATTTTGTATTAATTTGTAAACATTTCTAAAAACATACAGTACAAGTCAGAAGTTTTGACACACCATTCAAGGGTTTTTCTTTAATTTGACAATTTTTTACATTGTAGAATAATAGTGAAGACATCAAAACTACGAACTAACACATATAGAATCATGTAGTAACCAAAATAAATAGAAATATATTTTATATTTGAGATTCTTCAAATAGCCACCCTTTGCCTTGATGACAGCTTTGCACACTCTTGGCATTCTCTCAACCAGCATCATGAGGTAGTCACCTGGAATGTATTTCAATTAACAGGTGTGCCTTCTTAAAAGCGCTCTCAACTTTTTTGGGCACTCGATAGTTGTCTGCTTTTTGTTCATATCCTGGTCTTCTTTTCCTTGTATTGTAGGAATAATCTGTCCGAGCTAGAGGTCTCAACTGAAGTCAGCAAGTGAGAGGTGTGAATCTTGAGAATACAGCACTCAAATGTATACTGAACAAAAATATAAATGCAACGTAAAGAAAGTGTTGGTCCCATGTTTCATGAGCTGAAATAAAATATCGCAGAAATGTTCCATATGCACAAAAAGCTTATTTCTCTCAAAATGTTGTGCACAAATTTGTTTATATCCTTGTTAGTGAGCATTTCTCCTTTGCCAACATAATCCATCCCCCTGACAGGTGTGGCATATCAAGAAGCTAATTAAACAGCATTATCATTACACAGCTGCACCTTGTGCTGGGGACAATAAAAGGCCACTCTAAAATGTGCTGTTTTGTCACACAACACAATGCCACAGATGTCTCAAGTTGAGGGAGTGTGCAATTAGCATGCTGAATGCAGGAATGTCCACCAGAGCTGCTGCCAGATAATTTGATGTTCAATTCTCTACCATAAGCCACCTCCAACGTTGTTTTAGAGAATTTGGCAACCGGCTTCACAACTGCAGACCAAGTGTAACCACACCAGCCCAGGACCTCCACATCTTCACCTGAGGGATCATCTGAGACCAACCACCAGGACAGCTGATGAAACTGAGGAGTATTTATGTCTGTAATAAATCGCTTTTGTGGATAAAAAATCATTCTGATTGGCTGGGCCTGGCTCCCCAGGCCCACCCATGGCTGCGCCCCTGCCCAGTCATGTGAAATCCATAGATTACATTTGACATTTTAGTCATTTAGCAGACGCTCTTATCCAGAGTGACTTACAGTTAGTGAGTGCATACATTTTTCATACTGGCCCCCCGTGGGAATCGAACCCACAACACTGGCGTTGCAAGCGCCATGCTCTACCAACTGAGCTACAGGGGACTAGGGCCTAATGTATCTATTTCAATTGACTGATTTCTTTATATGAACTGTAACTCAATCAAATCGTTGAAATTGTTGCATGTTGCGTTTATATTTTTGTTCAGTATACCTGTTGTGTCCTGAGTGAATTGCTCAATAAAATTCAACTACAGCCAAACCTCTTTATTGATGTAAATCTCAAAATTCAGTTGATTACTGCAACACATTTGTAGCGAACTCAAGTACCACAACTTATTCATTGTAAATGCAGAGGCTGTTTATTTGGAAGCTAAGCCATTAACTACAGAATAAATACACCAAATGTGAAATTGATGTGTGATTAACAATGTAAAAAAAATTATACACATCCTCTGCATATAATAAAAGATAAATAAAAATAAACTGCGCTCTTGTCAACATCCATGATTTATTGATATATCCAATATTGACAGGGAGAAAATAGCATGACAGAATGGATTATTTGATTCCTCACAAAAATCTGGTCAATAAACCACTAGTCCTGAGCCACCCTGCGTGACTCACCCTTCAGCTGGTTGATAAACTTGGCGGCCAGCTCCAGGTCTCCGTGCTCCAGGCTGTAGGCGGCGTAGGAGAGCAGCTTAAACGTGTCGAGATCTTCGGCCGACAGCTTGGCAGGGGGGGGCCTCCTGCTTCTTCTCAAAGAGCAGGGTAGCCTGCAGGTAGGACAGGAAGTACTGATAGAGGCTGTTGCGGGTTTCGTCGATCAGGGCCACGCGGCGGGCCAGCTGGCGGATGACATAGAAGCGGGCGTGGAGAGAGGCCTCGCTGTAGACCCCGCGACTGAGGGACTCGGAGGACAGGGCAGTGGCCAGTGCCAGGGCAAACCCGTTCTTGGCACAGCTCTCCTTGATGGCCTGCACAGCGCCCTCTAGGCGCTCGGTGGGGTCGTTTAGGGCAGCGGTCCTCAGGGTGTAGTTCAGAGCCTCCACTGAGAGCCACAGCTGATGGGCCTTAGGGGCCTCCTCCTCTGCAATAACATGGCCTGTAGGGTAATAGATAACACTTTAGTGTCTCATACAGAACACACCAGAATATATAAAAACAATTCTGGTATAGTCAAAATGTGAAATGTCCTGCTTTTTTTTGTTGGTTTAGACAAGTCTTTTGGCTCATGTTAGTACCAGAAAGGGAACAAGTATTGTATTTGAATGTTGCATAACATTGTATGTGACCTTCACCTGAATGCAGAGACAGCATTTTCATCCCTGTGGACTCTGTGTAGTGTGTATTATTCACTGTCAATGGCCTTCTCTATGCCCTTGAGCCTGGCATAAGCTGCATTCATGTCCAGGGTGAAGCTGTCCAGTTGGTCCTGTGTCAGATGAAGGTACTCTGTCTCTTTCTCCATCAACGTGCTGTTCAGGATCTGGAGAGGATTCAAATGATGTTCATCATTCAGTTTGCATTAGGTAGGTTTTACAGTTTAGGAGTGTTTGCATTGCTAAATATTCACAGTAAGTAGTTATGATGTAGCAGTGACATATGCAATAAAGGGAACTCTCAAAACACTGAATACAGGTTTGGGTTATTGGTTGGTTGGCTGGCTGGCTTACCTTATCTCCTGTATTTGAATATATCACCCTCCTGTATTTGAATATGAATGAGGTTTGATTGGCTGTGGGTATGAATATGTAACAGTAGACAATGTGTGACTGTAAGGGGATATGGATATACTTGCCTCCTCTGCTTCAGAATGCAGCTCCTGACCCTTGGGGACGTCACGCAGGTGGTCTGTGTGTGCTGCAGCCCGTCTACGCAGCTGGGTCTGCATCTCAGCCTCCATCACCTCCCGAGTCTCCTCCACCTGATGATGAACACACCGATACAGTCATTCATCCATCACTAGAAAACACCCAACTAACAGTTTGGCCTCATTCTCAGCAGTGTCATTCACTCTCATTCTACTCATCTGTCTAACAGAGCAAACATTTAGCTAGATTGCTACTTTAAGAGAAAAGGGAAAGTCCTTCAATCAAAATGGATGAATAGTGCCATATCATTAGGATTGTTTGATTAAGAGTTATTACAATAGAGAAACACCCTTTTCTCTCACCTTTTTCTCCTGCTCCAGATGCATTTGTTCTCGATTGTGTTCCAGGGCGGTGGATACTGCCAACTCCAGGGCCTTCTTGTCTTCCAGTTTCTGCTGCTCCAGGGCAGACTTGATGTGGATCTGTTCCCTCACCCTCTGCTCCGCCAGCTCCCGGTTCAGCTGGTCAATACGTCGGTGGGCATGGGCGATCAGGGAGTTGAGGTCATCTTGAGTCAGCTTCCCTGCTGGAAACGGCCAAGGGCCAGTCCGTGAATTGAAGGGCTTATTTATGCTGCAACTATTTTTCCCATGGTTCCATAGTCAAGACCGGTTCTAATTCTCAATTAATCTTTCCTCGATTCCTTGCATCCTTCCTTTTGTGTCTTTATCAAAACACATTGAAAAAAGGGGAGGGGGGGGGCTTTGGACCTTCTCCTCCAATAGAGTTGAGAAGGAGGCGAGAGGATGCAAGGAATTGCAGAAAGAAACTGAACTTAAGCCAATCATGTCATTGATGCTGAGCATAGTTTTTCACAGGCTTACTGCAAAGCCTAACTTTCGAGATGTGGGTGGGTAATGGTAGTAAGTGGTGGGGGTGAAACTGCCGCATGTGGTCTGACTCTTACTGAGTCCCTTCCATTTGGCCAGCATCTCTGGAGTGATGCTGTTCCTTCTGAAACTGGGCCTTGGCCTCGTTTACCAGCTCACTGTACTGGGACACAATCTTAGCCTCAGCCTGGGCTGTCTGGACCTGCAATAAAAACACATAAGGTGTCAAGACATGTCTGGTCAGGAAGGAGGTAGGGGTTTTCCTTCAGTGAAAACATCTAACCTGCTGGGTTCACTGCATGCTTTTGATTACATAACATTACATAACATTGAAGCAGTTCGTCACTGTCAACCGAGAGACATGTAGGTGTAACAGTACTCTTCTTGCGTTGTGTACAATCCATCATCAACACAAACTCCATCTTGTAACACCAGTCATGGAGCTTTATTCTGATAGGAACAGCACAAAATTGCACATCATGCAATGCACGGCTCACCATCCAACTCTGCACTCACGCACTGTACAAAATATACAAACCCCCCACCAGACACAGTAAGTTGCTAGCTAGTATTAGCTGGAATTCTCTACAACAAAATGCACAACAAATATTCACCAAAAAACACTGCATCTTATGTGTGATGTTCGAATAACATTTACAAACAAATTGATATAAATTATACATTTACATCATCACTTGGGAGTATAAAAATCACTTTTGACGTACAGTGCTTTGCAACCAACAACTTACCGCTGGTTTGGTGCTTGTTCACTGGGACGATTCTAACTGAAACATCCTCCCTCATAAGCAAGCTACGCCAACCAGCCAATAAGATGCCATGTTGAGTAGGTGAAGGCAAGACAAAACCAAAAACCCATTGGCTTATCAATAAAGTGGCAAGGGGAATCACCAATATAACCCTGTTACACTCCCCCCTACTGAATTCCACTTGCAAAGAATAATAATAAAAATACAAAACGGCACTGTGCAAACATACCAGGTACAGAAACACTCAACATATGTACAGAATAATTCAGAGAGAGAGAAAAAAAAAGATTGATATATTTTTATACTACCTAATATAGAAAAATAAAAGGTAAAGCTGTGTATATCAAGGATGCAGACCCTGCTTTAAAACAGTCACTAAATATTCCAGTCATTAGTGTCCTTAAACTAACGTGACAGAAGATCCCACCAAACACGGACCAAGCAGCGTGCCCAGGAGGACCGAACACCCTGGACACAGGTGGGGAAGATGTGGTCGTGGGTGAAGATATTTGCGGGGAAAGGACCCTGGGCAAAGAAGGAAGCCCAGGCAGGAGAGGAGCAACGGCAACACAGAAGCCGGCCGAGGAGGAAGCCCGAGAAGCAGCCCCAAGAAAAATTGTTGGGGGGGCTAAAGGGGTGGTCGGGGAGCGAGAGAGAAGAGCCCCGACCACTGCACCCGGTGGGTTTCCAGATTGATTCCCTACGACCATGGGAAGAAGAGTGGGAACAGTATTATACTGAGGAGTCGGAGGATGACGACGACGATGAGTTTCTGTTCCCTAACTCATGGGGGCTCCCGGAGGAGTCCTCACTGGAGGAGGAGTGCCGAGAGAGAGAGAAGGATCGGCTCTGCAGGGTAAGAGAGGAGGCCACCATATTACGGGGGCTGATAGATAGAATAGAGCGGGAGAGATCCATTCAAGAGGAGGCACTGCAGGAGGCTCGTAGGGAAAAGGAGGAAGTAGAGGCACGGAGAGAGGAGCTGGTTAGGCAGCATAAGGAGCGGGGGTTAATAAAGGAACCTAGGTATGCGGAGATACGCACTGTATCACCAGTGCGCATGCACAGCCCAGTGCGTTCTGTGCCAGCGCCCCGCACGTGTCGTGCGAAAGTGGGCAGCCAGCCAGGACGGGTTGTGCCAGCTCTCCCCTCCAGACCTCCAGTCCGCCTCCACAGTCCGGCCCGGCCCGTTCCTGCTCGCCGCACCAAGCCAGTGGTGAGTGTCGCCAGTCCGGCCCGGCCCGTTCCTGCTCCCCGCACCAAGCCAGTGGTGTGTGTTCCCAGTCCGGCCTGGCCCGTTCCTGTTCCTCACACCAGGCCAGTGGTGCGTGTCCCCAGTGCGGCCTGGCCCGTTCCTGCTCCCCGCACCAAGCCAGTGGTGCGTGTTGCCAGCCCGGTACGGCCCGTGCTTGCTCCTCGCACGAAGCCAGTGGTGCGTGTTCCCAGTCCGGCCTGTTCCTGCTCCTCGCACCAAGCCAGTGGTGCGTGTTCCCAGTCCGGCCCGGCCTGTTCCTGCTCCTCGCACCAAGCCAGTGGTGCGTGTCGCCAGTCCGGCCCGGCCCGTTCCTGCTCCTCGCACCAAGCCAGTGGTGCGTGTTCCCAGTCCGGCCCGGTCCGTTCCTGCTCCTCGCACCAAGCCAGTGGTGCGTGTTCCCAGTCCGGCCCGGCCTGTTCCTGCTCCTCGCACCAAGCCAGTGGTGCATGTCGCCAGTCTGGCCCGGCCCGCTTCGAGTATCGTGGGAGGAAGAAGAGGGGAAGCAGCGCGCTGAGGTCCAGACCAGACCAGGGGTACAATAGGGAGGCGGAGAGTATGTGGTCGTCTGTCACGCCCTGACTCAGGGGACTCTTATATGTTGAGTCAGTGTGTGAATATTCTATGTTGTGTATATCTATGTGAATGAACTGCTGTCCCCGTAGCCAGTGGTGGAACTTGTCACAGATAGCCCATTTCATGGCAAAGAACTCGAGCCGGTGCGCAGGATACCTCGACTGCGCATAACTGAGGGACTTACTCGTGAAGGCTATAGGTCTCGATGTAGCTCCCCGTTCCTGCACCTGGGACAGCACAGCACCTAAGCCGTTGCTGGACGCATCCACCGAGAGTAGAAAGGGTTTGTCGAAGTTGGGGTGGGCCAACAAAACCTGGTCCAGTAAGGCTTGCTTTAGCTGGAATAAGGCCTGTCTGCATTCTGTTGTCCAGTCGGCAGCCGTCAACTTCCTGACAGGTGAGCGTCGCTTCTTTTTCCAGCGTGGAGCCTTGTGTCCAGTAGTCACTCCAAAGAGAGGCTTTGCGATGGTCGAGCAACCTTCAATTAATTGTTGATAATACACCACCATCCCAAGGAATGACCTCAATGTCTTCTGAGATGGAATGTCAGTGCCATCTTCCATCAGATCAGCTTCTGTTACTCCTGTAATGGCCCTCACCTTCTCAGGGTCTGTAGCTACACCATCCGCACTAATGATATGCCCCAGAAACTTCACAGACCTCTGCAGAAAGTTACACTTTTTAGGCGCCAACTTCAGGTTGTGAGCCTTGAGACGCTCAAAAACCATTTCCAGGCGCTGTATAACCAGATCTTCAGTGGGTGCATAGACCAAGACATCGTCAAGGTAACACAGCAGGCTAAGAAAGTTCTGATCCCCAAAGATGTTTAGCATCATCCTCATAAAGGTTGCAGGACTATTACATAACCCCTGTGGCATACGATTGTATTCGTACAAACCAAATGGCGACGTAATAGCTGTGAATCTCCGATCATCCTCATGCACTTCCACATTGTAGTAGCCAGAGGTAAGGTCCATTGTCGAGAAAAAGGCATTTCCACCTAAAGCAGCCAGCACATCAGCCTGGTGAGGGAGTGGGTGTGCGTCCCTGATGGTGCAAGCATTGAGCAAACGAAAATCAGTACAGAGTCTCAGGTCTCCAGATTTCTTCCATACAAGGACAAGGGGAGAGGCAAGCTCACTACTAGACTTCCTTATGATTTCACGTTCTTCCATCTCATTCAATGCTTGCTTGAGCTTCTCATAATGATTTAGCCATCATGTTGATTAGCTTGCTCTCCTCACCCCCATCACACACAGGAGTATAAACCCTCTTCCAGAGATCTCCATTAGTCTTCAGGTGGCGAATCAAGTGCTTTAGGAGATTGCTGCCCAGGATGAGGTCATCACTCTGGCCTTCAACCACCAGTGTAGGCACGGCAACTCTACAGCCGTACACCTACATCTCCAGCTCACATACTCCCGAAGGCCTCGTCTTCAACCCACCACAACCAACCAAGACTACCTCTGTAGGACTCAATGATGGACTTTTCAACACTCCTGCATGCAACAGTTCAGGTAAGACCCTAGAGCTCAAGGTACAAGCCATGGACCCACTGTCAAGCATAGCTCTCACTTCTACTTCTCCTCCTATTAACACCTTGGCAGATTGCTGCCCAATCATCATATGGGGAAAGTCTCTGTGTGTTCTGCATTATGATACTCTTCTCAGTCTCCATTTCGTCACAAACACTTTTATATACAGACTCCAAATCAACAGCTCTCACTGATGGGGACTCTAAAAAAGGCCCAACACTCTCCCCTTCTACATGCAGGCCTACTAGTTTCCCGGGAGCTGAGCAGTGATTACTGTAGGGACTCCACCAGCTGTGCTCAGAGCTGCGGCCTTGGGGCACTGAGAGCGTGCGTGGCCAGCTACATGACAAAGAAAGCAGAGGTGATTGGCCCTGCAGTGAAAGTAAGTATCATGTCCAGCATCCCCGCACACGTTACATGGCCCATTAGACTTCAATTTGCTCCTATTCTCTTTTTGGAACTTACGGTCAGACTGTTGTGGCCTTTGCTCCAGCACACGCTGCAGCATTGCAAGGATACGTTCCATCGGCTCAGCTGAGCCCTGAATAGTCTGGGCTGGAGAAGGCAACGCATTAGGTACTTCCATGTGGGGCCTCACAGCAGGCATGGTGATTGGCATGACAGCACCAACTTCCTGCCTCATTGTTGTGATGGCTGGGGTCACCTTAGATAAGTGAGAGTACCTCTGCTCCCTCCTGTATTCATCCAACCTCTCATGAACATCTGCAGCGGTCCACTGCTGTAATGGTTTGCACTTAAAGATAAGCGACAGTTCGGCGTTAGGGCAATGTCTGATGAACATGACTGTGAGCTCACGAGATGGGTCTTCAACACTTTTTTTCTGTCTCTTTAGACAATTTTCAGCAACCACCATTGCCCCGTTCAGTCTGAGCCAATAGTCGAATGGTTGTTCATCAGTCAGGGGTAATGTGGCATAAAGGTCAGCGAGGGGCATGCTTGAAAAAGCAGTCACTAAAATGTTGTTTCAGTATGGGACTCGGGCCTTTGGATAAATCAACGGAGGGATTGCTGCATATGCCCACTTTAACAACATCACGGGCCCTTCCCATAAGCCTACCCATAACCTCATCTGCTTGGTCCATCACAGATACGCCCCTCTTACGCATGTAAACCATGACCATATCCTCCCACTCATGCACTGTGCACTTTTCAGAGCCATCCCCCCGAAAGTACACCGGTTCCCTGATATCAGACTTCAATACCAGGTTCAGGCCTGACACATCCATATCCCTAGAGCTGCATACATTTCCCATAACATTGTCACCAACATGTCCAACAATTGCCTTTGACTCCAAACAGGAGGTAATGTTCTCCCCAATGGAATGACCAATCTGCTGTACTATGTCTGCTATGAAATCCATGGAGACCTCCCCACTCCCTGCATTTGGCAAAACTCTTTCATACACATCCTTGGGCGTTTCCATGGGTAAACTATCATCAAAACTCCCAAAACCCTCCAGTTTAGGCATAGGCGTAGAAGCAACTGAAATTTTGGCTGAACCCCTACCAACAGATGGTGACAGACTAAATGTCAGGAAACCCCTACCTCTCCCAACACCTTCCATCTTAACAATTGGAAATCAACACACTAATAAAAATGTAAATAGTAAAATGTAAAAAATGTTTTACCTCACGTCAAAATCTAACCTATATCTAGTACACTGGTAAAACTCACCCTACTTATATCAGATATACGTTAGAATTGCAAATAAACAAGTAACACAAAAGTTATATCGTTTATCCGTGAAGAGAAAGTCTCAACCAGAGAAATCATCCATTTCGATAGTAAAACGTTGCAGTAGCGCCCTCTTGTGGCGAAATGCGATATTGCCATTACCTGCACCAGCAACGTCTTATCTGATTCTTCAACAGCAACCACGGCGAAGTTCTGAGATGGAAATCCAGCGAAGGATGATCCGATCCAGAAGAAAGGTCACGGCACCACTGTAACAGTACTCTTCTTGCGTTGTGTACAATCAATCATCAACACGAACTCCATGATATACATTTACATCATCACTTGGGAGTATAAAAATCATTTTGACGTACAGTGCTTTGCAACCAACAACTTATCGCTGGTTTGTTGCTTGTTCACTGGGACGATTCTAACTGAAACATCCTCCCTCGTAAGCAAGCTAAGCCAACCAGCCAATAAGATGCCATGTTGAGTAGGTGAAGGCAAGACAAAACCAAAAACCCATTGGCTTAACAATAAAGTGGCAAGGGGAATCTAAATATAACCCTGTTACATAGGCAGAAATGTTTCATTTCAGTTGTCCCGTGAGAGTGGGAGAATAAGAAGCCAAATTACCTTGGTCACCACACTGTCCAGATCCACCACCATACTGTGAAGGTTCTCCTCTGCAGCGAGGATAGATGGCTGGGCTGCAGCAATCTTTGAGTCCTTGGCTCCATCAATGACTCCTCTCAGCTTGTCCAGCTCAGCCCTAAACACCAGAAATACAGAATGAATCCCTGTGGCACAAAGCCAAACACAGCAAGCACAGAGTCTTTGCTGATCCTTTGAAAGTTAGTTTTAGTGAGCATAATATAATAAAGTAAATACCCCACTTAATAAAAATATAGCAAATTCATTATTTCTAACTTTAATATCACCCAAGGTATTATTGTCGCTCCGACAGGCATTGAGCTTTGGTTAAATTCAAATCTCCCTACCATCATATCTAAGCCAATATGTGACCGACTGGCTCAAATCGGTCTTATGTAGCAAAATTTGAAATGGTGTTTACATTGGATAAAAGTAGACTCAGGGGTACAAAATGGTATATCATACACTACAGTTGAGGAACAATGGGAAAGTAATTTTGCTTTGAAAGTTGTTAAACTTGTAAACTCACTTTTGAGAAAATGGCCTTTTAATGTTTTGGTACTACTACTGCGCGCCCTTCTTTGTCTACACCCATTCAGCATCGTTCACACCCTATTAAGCTTTAGCCCCACCCATCTCTTTAAGGGTTGATCCGAGAGTTCTGTACAAACAGAAGTCAAGCACCCAAGCTAACTTGCTAGCTACTTCCAGACACAAATGACAGAACAGTTAACTGAACATTACCCGCCCTAGCAGAACTGGTTAGGCTGTTATGTTATCCAGAGCGTTGGTGACTGCAACTGTGCTGTCAGATTGTCCGTAAATTCAAAATGTGTCGCTCTCGGCGCGTTCAGAGCACACACCGGACGCTCTGGCCGATGAGTAGGGTTGATCCGAACGTTCAGACCTCACAACGGCAGTCAAGCACCCAAGCTAACTGGCTAACGTTGGCAAGCTTGCTAGCTACCTCCAGACACATAATGAGAGAACACCCCACTCTGACCATTTTACTGTTTTCATGTTATCCAGTGCATTGGTGACTAACTGTGCTGCTGGCAACTATTTAATTACGCTTTTTTGCCGACGTTTACTGACACGGGCCATATTCAACAGGTGTTGAGCGTTCATAAATTCATCAGTTATTCTGCGCTCTGGCACACTCAGACGAGTGTGCTCTGAAATCGGAGTAGATGGCCAGACTGAATTTACAAATGCATGGTTACTTGCATAGCGGAGTCTTTTGTTAAGACGTGTGGAAAATGGCTCTGAGATACGAATAATAAGATCATACACGTAACGTTAGCTAGCGAGCCAGCCAGCTAACGTTAGCTAGCTAGGTAAACAATGAACCATAATCACAACTCATGACTTTACTACCCTGCATGAATCTGCATTAGCACAGTCAGTGTAGTCAGCTCAGCTATCACCATTGAGACCATGTCTATGGCTCGATCTACGTTGAGCAAAACTAAACATGGCGGTGTTCGCCTTAACAATCTCACTGGAATAAAGACCTCCTCCATTCCTGTCATTATTGAAAGAGATTGCGATATCTCATATCTCAAAATAGGGCTAGTTAACGTTAGATCCCTCACTTCCTAGGCAGTTATGGTCAATTAACTAATCACTGATCATCATCTTGATGTGATTGTCCTGACTGAAACTTGGCTTAAGCCTGATGAATTTACTGTGTTAAATGAGGCCTCTCCTCCTTGTTACACTAGTGACCATATCCCCCGCGCATCTCGCAAAGGCGGAGGTGTTGCTAACATTTACGATAGCAAATGTCAATTTACCCCCCAGAATGCGACTGCATTTTCGTCTTTTGAGCTTCTAGTCATGAAATCTATGCAGCCTAATCAATACATTTTTATAGCTATTGTTTACAGGCCTCCTGGGCCGTATACAGAGTTCCTCACTGAGTTCCTATCGGACCTTGTAATCATGGCAGATAATATTCAAATTTTTGGTGACTTTAATATTCACATGGAAAAGTCCACAGACCCACTCCAAAAAGCTTTCGGAGCCATCATCAAGTCAGTGGGTTTTGTCTAACATGTCTCCGGACCTACTCATTGCCACAGTCATACCCTGGATCTAGTTTTGTCTTGTGGAATAAATATTGTGGATATAAATGTTTTTCCTCATAACCCTGGACAATCGGACCACCATTTTATTACGTTTTCAATCGCAACAAATAATCTGCTCAGACCCCAACCAACGACCATCAAAAGCCATGCTATAAATTCTCGGACAACCCAAAGATTCCTAGAGGCCCTTCCAGAATCCCTCCAACTACTCAAGGACGTCGGAGTACAAAAATCAGTTAATGACCTAACTGAGGATCTAAATTTAACCTTGCGTAATACCCTAGATGCAGTCGCACCCCTAAAAACTAAAAAACATTTGGCACAAGAAACTAGCTCCCTGGTATACAGAAAATACCAGAGCCCTGAAGCAAGCCTCCTGTGACGAGTACTGAGTATCCAAAGAGGCAGACACAGGAATTAACAAGGTAAAGGTTTACTTAACAACGAACAGTCCAGGGCTATATAGTGGTGGTGATGAGATGATGAGGTGCAGGTGCGCTGGAGGTGATTAGGGTGCGTTGGGTTTCCATTCCTGTGTTTGCCGAGGTGGTGCGCTCAGACCGGTGGCTCAGTAGACCGGCGAATCAGAGCGCCGGAGGGGAGCAACGGGAAGAGACGTGACACCTCCAGAAAATTGGAACGGAAATGGCGCTCCACCAAACTGGAAGTCTTCCTACTAGCTTGGAAAGAAAGTACAGTGCAATATCGAAGAGCCCTCACTGCTGCTCGATCTTCCTATTTTTCCAACCTAATTGAGGATAATAAGAACAATCCAACATTTCTATTTGATAGTGTCGCAAAGCTAACTAAAAAGCAGCATTCCCCAAGAGAGGATGCCTTTCACTTCAGCAGTGATTAATTCATGAACTTCTTCGACGAAAAGATCATGATCATTAGAAAGCAAATTACGGACTCCTCTTTGAATCTACGTATTTCCCCAAAGCTCAGCTGTCTTGAGTCTGCACAAAACTGCCAGGACCTAGGATCAATGGAGACACTCAATTTTTTAAAATCCTATATCTCTTGACACATTCATGAAAATAGTCATGGCCTCTAAACCTTCACCTGCATACTGGACCATATTCCAACTAAACTACTGAAAGAGCTACTTCCTGTGCTTGGCCCTCCATGTTGAACATAATAAATGGCTCCCTATCCACTGAATGTGTACTAAACTCACTAAAAGTGGCAGCAATAAAGCCTCTCTTGAAAAAGCCAAACCTTGACCCAGAAAATGTAAGAAAAAACATTGACCTATATCGAATCTCCCATTCCTCTCAAAGATTTTAGAAAAAGCTGTTGTGCAGCTACTCACTGCCTTCCTGAAGACATAACATGTATACGAAACACTTCAGTATGGGTATAGACCCATCATAGCACTGAGACTAAACTCATGAAGGTGGTAAATGACCTTTTAATGGCGTCAGACCAAGGCTCTGCATCTGTCCTCATGCTCCTAGACCTTAGTGCTGCTTTTGACATCATTGATCACCACATTATTTTGGAGAGATTGGAAACCTTAATTGGTCTACACGGACAAGTTCTTGCCTGGTTTAGATCTTATCTGTCGGAAAGATATCAGTTCGTCTCTGTGGATGGTTTGTCCATTGACAAATCAATTGTAAGTTTCGGTGTTCCTCAAGGTTCCGTTTTAGGGCCTTTTGTTTTCACTATATATTTTACATCTTGGTGATGTCATTCAGAAACACAATGTTAACTTTCATTGCTATGTGGATGACACACAGCTCTACATTTCGATGAAACATGGTGAAGCCCCAAAATTGCCTACCCTGGAAGCCTGTGTTTCAGACATAAGGAAGTGGATGGCGGCAAATGTTTTACTTCTAAACTCGGACAAAACAGAGATGCTAGTTCTAGGTCCCAAGAAACAAAGAGATCTTCTGTTGGATCTGACAATTAATCTTGATGGTTGTACAGTCGTCTAAAAAATAACTGTGAAGGACGTCTGCGTTACTCTGGACCCTGATCTCTCTTTTGACGAACATATCAAGAATATTTCAAGGACAGCTTTATTCCATCTTCGTAACCAAAAATCTGAAACCTTTTGTCCAAAAATGATGCAAAAAAAGCTAATCCATGCTTTTGTCACTTCTAGATTAGACTACTGCTATGCTCTACTTTCCGGCTACCCGGATAAAGCACTAAATAAACTTCAGTTAGTGCTAAACACGGCTGATAGAATCTTGACTAGAACCAAAATATTTGATCATATTACTCCAGCGCTAGCCTCGCTACACTGGCTTCCTGTTAAGGCTAGGGCTGATTTCAAGGTTTTACTGCTACCTATAAAGCATGACATAGGCTTGCTCCTACCTATCTCACCGATTTGGTCCTGCCGTACATACCTACACATACGCTTTCGTCACAAGACCCAGGCCTCCTTATTGTCCCTAGAATTTCTAAGCAAACAGCTGGAGGCAGGGCTTTCTCCTATAGAGGTCAATTTTTATGGAATGGTCTGCCTATCCATGTTAGAGATGCAGACTCGGTCTCGACCTTTAAGTCTTTACGGAAGACTAATCTCTTCAGTAGGTCCTATGATTGAGTGTAGTCTGTCCCAGGGGTGCGAAGGTGAACGGAAAGGCACTGGAGCGACAACCCGCCCTTGCTGTCTCTGCCTGGCCGGTTCCTGTCTCTCCATCGGGATTCTCTGCCTCTGATCCTATTACGGGGGCTGAGTCACTGGCTTACTGGTGCTTTCCATGCCGTCCCTGGGAGGGGTGCGTCACTTGAGTGGGTTGAGTCACTGACGTAATCTTCCTGTCCTGTTTGTCGCCCCCTTGGGCTCGTGCAGTGGAGGAGATCTTCGTGGGCTATACTCAGCCTCGTCTCAGGGTAGTAGGTTGGTGGTCTGTTGATATCCCTCTGGTGGTGTGTGGGCTGTGCTTTGGCAGAGTGGGTGGGGTTATATCCTGCCTGGTTGGCCCTGTCCGGGGTTATCGTCGGACATGGCCACAGTGTCTCCCGATCCCCCGTCTCAGCCTCCAGTATCTATGCTTCAATAGT